TGCCAGAGCATATTCAGCACGGCCGTGTCATTTTTAGCACGGCCGTGCCAGGAAGATGCACGGCCGTGCCATATATAGCACGGCCGTGCCAATTTGAAGAAGAAATCTGGTTTACTTACTGACAAGCTAGCACGGCCGTGCCAAATACAGCACGGCCGTGCTGATCTAGGGTTAACTGCGCGCTTGACTTATCCGCATTAGAAGACGTATATAAGGCCCAACTTTAAGAGGATTCCTCAGACAGTTTTAGAGATAGTTTTGAGAGCCTTTGTAGAGAGTTATTGGAGAACGTTCTTAGTATTAGAGATTCATTAGTTTTCTTAGAGATATTTCTAGAGATTTTAGTTTTCTTGGATTGATTTGAAGCAAGATTTGCGAAGATTCTTTGTATTATTCATTGACGACGGATATCAAAGTTCTGAACTTTTCCATTGATTCGCATCAATACAATTGGTATTATTCATTCTTGTTTATTAATCAAGCTTTATTATTCCTTAATCAGAATTCATGTTTATATCTATTATGCTTTTGGAATTCATTATTGCTTTGATTATGAATATGTGTGAGTAGTCTCCTAGCTAGGGTTTCGGGATGAAACCCGGCCTAGGTAATCTATGTAATTGAGGATTGATTTTGATAAACGGATTGTGATTAAATTGATTATATGCGATTGCATGTTAATTCATTATAGTAGGAGTAGCTAGAATCTTGAATTTGATTGCATGATATTCTTGATTTGAACAAGAGATTGTGAATTGAGTATTTCATTATTGAATGTGGTTTGATTATGTATCGAGTAATGTTAAGTGCATGAGAAATCCAAGCTTAGTATTGCCCGTTGTCTTCCTATCACATGATATTGATCAGACTTATAGTCTTTGCATATCCCGTTTGTCTTTGTGATTCCTTGTTGCTTAGTTACCAATGGTTAGGCGGATTCCCGCTCTCCCTAGTGTCTTAGTTTATTGATTTATTCCATCTTATTAGTATTATTTTAGAACACCATTTTCCATTGATTTCGAACTAGCTTAGGTTTAAGATTGATTTGCAATTACTCTCGTTCCTCGTGGACCGAACCTTTATTTTCCATTGTACTTGGTTATAGGGTGTTCGTATAAGTATTGTTTGATTGAGAGTTAGATTGTAGCGACCATTTTAACCCTTGTCAGTTATGGATAATGCCCTTAAAGTTATGGATAATCCCCTTAAAGTTATGAACATTGTGTTAGTAAGATAGATGTGATAATTAACTTATATGCTGATACAATATTTAGGATAATTTTATGTAAAGTTATGGATAATGATATTAAAGCTTTATTTTAGTACTTATTTATAGTTATAATTTTGTGTTTGCTAAAGTTGCATTTATTATTTCTGAAGTTGTATTTATTCTCTTTAAAGTTATAGTTGTTCATTCTATTTTTCCTTTCTTCTTTTTTTGATTAAGATTGGATAGGTTTTTCAGTACCCATTGCAGACCGCAAACATTAGTAGATCCCATGAAAGATTTTTCTGATGAGCAAGTTAAATCTGTTGTTGAAATAGGATTTGGTGGTTTGTTGGATTTAAAGTTGACTAGAACTGTTACAACTTTACTTCCTTGGTTAGTTGATCATTTTGATCCTGTTAGTTGGATGTTTTCTATAAGTCCTGGGAAGGAATTTGTTATTTCTCCCTATGATGTTTATGATGTATTTGAGTTACCTTTGAATAATGGGATGGATGTTGTAGAGAGTACTAGAAGTACTGATCTTCAATTGAAACAAGAATGGAGGAGTATGTTTGATGTTGCTGGTAGTGTAGGCATACCTCTGCATAAATTAGAGGCTAGGATTGTTCAGTTAAAGGATGGTGGGGAGTTGTTTAAGAGACTATTTGTGATGGTTGCTTTTGCTACCTTTCTAGCACCTGTTGCAAATAGAACTGCCGATTTGAGTTTTGTTAAAGCTCTTGAAAATGTTGATGAAATTAAGAATTTCAATTGGTGTAAATATGTTCATGAAAGGTTGTGTAGGGCTATTTTGAAGTATAAGAAAAGTAAGAGTCAAGACAGTGTTGGTGGTTATCTTTTTGTTGTTGGAGGTTGTGTATTTTCAGCGTCTGAAGTTCAGGAATGAGGCACAAGATTGTAGTTTGCCTCTTATCAAACACTGGACTGATAAGAAAATCAGTGATAGGGTGAAAAAAGAAGTTGAGGCTAAGTCCTTTGGTTATGGTATTTTGGATACTACTATATACCCTATATCTCAGAATTTTGTGTTCGGAGATCAGTTGCCTCTTCGAATTGCACGCGAAGGAGCTAAGCAAACTGAAGTTTCTCAAGGTGACAATGCTGATGATGCATCACTAGGAAAAAGGATCATTAAGTTTTATGTTCCTGATAGTATGGCATCTGATGAAGAAATTCATTCTGTTGCTACTGATGTAAGTTAAAAGTTGCATTTATTAATGCTAAAGTTATACTTTTTATGTTAAAAGTTATACTTATTATAGCTAAAGTTATCTTTCTAATTATTCACTTATTATTTTTCAGGCTATTCATGAGCAATTTTTGTTGATGAAGAGGAATATGGAAGTTGTAACAAATTATCATTTGAAGAAGGTTGAAAGTTTGAAGAAGCGTGATGTGGCTCGTGCTTCTAGTTGTTCATCTCCTGTCTTGCAAAGTCAGGATTATGATCCAAGAATGTTTGAGATTATTGATGAAATTGTTGATATTATGTTATCAATGAAGAAATTGCCTGGAGGTATTTCAGATATTGCTTGTGATATGAATGTCGGGGGTGGGGAGAATGGTGGAAGGGTGGAAAATGTTCTTAGGGGTGATTTTGTTAATAATATTGTTTAGAATGTGATAGAAAAGATTAACCTAGAGTACGGTGGAAGTTCTTTCTCATCTATAATCATGAATGCTTTGGGTAATGGTAAGGCAAAAATATCTGTTGGATGTGGGCCATGTGATGTTGATGTTGTGTTTGTTGGACATGTGATGAAAAGCAATAATAAGTCTTTCAACAAATTACCTAAGTTGTATCAGGAGATTGCTGATTATAGCTTCTTAGATGATATTCAAGTGCTGAATCAGTAAGTTATATTTTTTTTGTTAAAGTTATGTTTTTATTTCTTAAAGTTATTGTTTTTTTTTTTAATTTTTAGCTGGTTTTTTTTGTTTATTTAGGGAATGTTTGGTGTGGTTTGATCTTAGTCATAGTGTTCCAAGAGAATATATGGTGTCTTTAGCTGCTAATTTGGAGATTTTCCAATCTGTTATTGAGTGTTGGGCAATGTTGCTGAATGAGAATGAAAGAATGCACGATGGAGGTCCTAAAAAATTCTGTTTTGGTGTTGAAGGCAGTGTAAGTTTTATGTAAAGCTATATGTATTTTTCTTTTAATTGATGTTTGTATAGTTAATTCTTTTAGATTTCTTTTTTGTCTTATTGTTATTTAGGCTAACTTGGTAAAGCTTTGGGATGATGAAAATGATATTGATGTTATGGATCAACTTCAAGTTTGTTGGAAGGAATGGATTCAAGTCACAAACAACAGTTTTGATATCAGTGTTGTTGATTTGGTAATAATTTTTTCTGCTATTGTGTATTTTAATTCACATGTGTCATCATTTTTTTTTATTTCTAATTCTCTGTATTTTAAATTACAAATGATAGGTTTTTGTTCCTATTTATGCGTATCACCACTTCAGGGTTTTTGCGTTGAATATGAAGAAAAAAACCATGCAATTATTGGACAATTTGGTTTATGAAGAAGCTACTATGGAAACAATTAAGCATTTGTCTGCAATATTGGTAATTGTTTAAATTTTTGTTAAAGTTATACTTGTTTTTGTAAAAGTTACACTTATTTTGGTTGAAGTTACATTTTTTTTATTATATGTTTAATTCTTGTACTTTGTTCTTCTTTTTGTAGTGTGATAATTTGAGCACATTATTCAACAGTCTTGGTCATCCTGAATTTAGTGAAGTTGGAGATTATGCAATGGAGGAGGTGATGTTCAGTTGGAAGAATAATAAAGGACATGATCAAGATTGTGGAATATATTCTATGATGTCTGTGTTGTTGTTTGAAGGTGCTGCTTTTAGTTGTGATGCGTTGATGCGGGTTAGTTGCAATTTTTTTAGTTAATTTAGATTTTTTTTGTTTTTTTTACTGTGATTACATGATACTAGTATATGTAGTTCTTAAATATAGGAAATTTCAAGAGTTGTACTTCGAGCAGAGATATGTGCAACACTGGTACTGTCAGATATGAATGATGGCAGACATTTGGTGTTGAATTCTTTATGCAATTTTAATTCGCGTCGATTGGAGCTAGCACTTGAATTTGCTAAAAGGAGAAAGTTGATGATGCAACAAAAAAGGAAAGAGGAAAATGCGGCAAAAAATTTGAGTAAAGAAGTAAAAAAGAAAGAAAAATCTGCCAAGGGGAAGTAAATATTGTATTAGCAACAGTAGGATTTGTTAAGGGGAAGCTAATGTAGTTAGAACTTACAGTAATTTCATGCTTTTGTAAGTATATACTAAGGGGAAGTATGTCTATTTTCTAATTGGAAATTTTGGTTTGGTTAATACCATGCTTTTGTAACTACATACTTAATATTTTGTCTATGAAATGGTTGGATATTATGGTAATTTTGTTAAAGTTAATGTAATTCCATTAAAAGTTATGGCTAATGCCATTGAAGTTGTGGAAACTTTTTTTTTTTTGTAAAAAGAAGTTAGAATCAGAATTATTGTAACAATTATGGTATTTTTATTAAAAGTTATGGATAATGTAAATTAAAGTTAAGGATACTATTATAATATTTATAGTAATTCTACTAAAAGTTATAGGTTTTTTTTAGCAAAAGTCATCATTACTTATACAGTAAAAAAAAAAGATCAATATATTGTATTTAAAAGTTCAAGAATAATACAATAGTCTCAAATAGTCTAAGATCAATGAATATAGTTCAAAATAAAGAACAATGTATCTAAGATCAATTAAAATAGTCTCAAAATAGGGGTTATAGCTCCAAACTCAAGTGGTGGTACTGCAGTCTTCTTTCTTTTCTTCTCCAGTGGTCCTCGTGGCCTTTTGTTCCTTCCTTTTGTTGTTGTAAGTTCAGGATTTAATATAAGAGGTGCCTCAGTTGATGTACTTAATGATGTAGCTTGGTTAGTCTCTGCTTCAGTATCTTTGTTGGTCTCTGCTTCAGTAGCTTGGTTAGTCTCTACTTCAGTAGCTTGGTTGGTCTCTGTTTCAGTAGCTTGGTTAGTCTCTGCTTCAGTAGTGTTGTTGATGGTTGTTAGTAGTTCTTCAACAAGAGAATGGCTCACAGCATAACTGTCCTCGATAAGGGTTCTCGCCTCTTCATTCAATTGACTTTTTAATATTAGATTATAGAATTTTCTAGCCATGGTTTGACGCCAAGGTGTGTATTGAAGTTGTTTAGGTTCTTCATTGTCACGTCTTTCCCAAATTGATGATTTTGCAAACTTTGTCCATCTCTTCTTTATATACTGATCTGGTATTCTCATCACTGAATGTAAGTGTAATATTCTGATGCAGTGGTAGCATAACCATCCAGAAGCTTCAAAGTTCTTGCAAGTGCATTTAACTTGGTTGCTGTCAGATTCCAAAGTGACTTTTCGTTGCGACCAAGGTTCACTTTCAATTGCCACTAAATAGAACAAGGTACTACCATTTTGCCAAAGCAATTTTGTGGTAGTTGCAATGAAATACCCAAATTCTTCTTCAAAATCTGTGAATAAAGACAAAGTGTAGATTTCTGATGCATGTTTCAGCAGACCAGATAATGGTATTGCTGATGATGCAGTTGATTTACTACACGAGAACTCATCATGTTTTTCCGTGCTTCTCCAACGTTGTATACAAGCTTTGAAAATGCTATAGAATTTAGTCAAGCTTGTTGATCTATTTTCTCTAAACCCAATTGCATGATTGGTACTTTCACTTTGTTGGGAAGAGAGGATACCAGCTGAGAAGAAGTCTTTGCTTAGAGCTGGACACCACTTTTCTTTTAGATCATAAATTCTTTGGAACCAACTATCTTCTTGTAAATTATACTTCTCAATCATTGAGTTCCATACAGTTTCAAACTCAACTTCAGTTACACATCGTTTCAAACTGTAGGAGAATGTTCTCTTAAAATCCTTGTCTTGTTTCAATGATCCAAATCTTGTAATAGCATTTTGTTCCAAATTCCATACACATAATCTATGTCTGACCTCTAGAAAGACCTGAATTATAATCAGATATATTTTTAGAAAAAAAAGGTAACAACACAATAGAAACAAGGTAACTTTAACACCTTTATGTATAACATTAAATGTTACCTTATGTATTGCAGAGCACATTGCTTGATCTTGGTCTGTGAAGATTGAGATTAAGCATTTCCCTCCCATTGACTTTTTGAATGTCTCAAGAAGCCATACAAATGATTCAATTTTCTCATCTCCAAAGCACACCCAAACATGCAATTTTTCCAATGGTTATTAATTCCAACAATAGGAGCACATATCAAATTGTATCTATTTGTCCTGTATGTAGTGTCAAACACTACAACATCTTAATACATACTATAATCTTCTCTCATCATCGAGTCTCTCCAAAATAGTGCTCTTAACATGCCTTCTTTATTCAATCTAAATCTAAAGAAAAATTCAGGATCATTAGCAAGTTCCTGGTACATTATTTCAGAGACTGCTTGTGCATCACCACCTTCAATATTTTTCATTCTCAACCTTTTCCAATAATTCAGATGGTCTTTCTTTGTGTGTCCCAAGTTTTCTTCACCTCCAGCTTCATTGCACATAGCTCGATATGAGTCCATAGCTGAAAGTCCTGACGTTTGCAAGTTTTCTATTACTTGTCCCTTTTCTTCTGTCATCTCTCTTTCAGATCGATGAAGATAGTGCCATTGTTTTCTTGTGAGTTCATGATTATGTACCAAAATATGTTGTACTACTTCAAACAATCCATCCTCATTCATCTTGACTCTTATACAAGCTCTACAATCTGTTCTTGTGATAGGAACTTGCCTAGGTTTTCTTTTCTTTTTCTTTTCTGCATTCTCCACAATTGCTTCTATTTTTTTCTTTTTTCTTTCCCCAGTGTTTGTTTTACCTTGTGCAGAACAAACATAGTATTTCTCCACAATAACTTTTCCAGTTTTATCCCTAGTCCTACATGTATGTTTCCTTACTGAAAATCCTACAATTGATGCATGTTTTTTTGTAAATCTCATGCATTTCTTCTAAGGTTTTTGTTCTGATGCCTAATAGTGTTCTCCCAACATCAATATTGGTTTCAATGACTACAATATAAACAGTATAGTAGATTTAAGTTTTATGGAAAAAAGTGTAACTATAATTCAGTAATACAGTAACTTTTAAGCCATATCAGGTAACTTTGACAGTGTTATCACTAATTTCACTATTTTATTAAATTATATAATATAACTTCTAAGCCATATTTTGTAACTTTAACAATAATAACTATAACTTTTATGCCATAAACAAAACAATACTTATATTTCTTAAAGTTACACTTAGTTTCTTAAAGTTACACTTCTATTTCTTAAAGTTACACTATAAATTAAACAAGGATGCAATTTAAATTTTACTTGTACTTTTCAATATTAAACAGAAACTTCAATTTAAACAATTCCGCAACTGTTCAAAAGCTTAATGTTACCTTCAGAAGTTGAATCTTCATCCTTTGAGATTTGCTCTTCATCCACCGAGATTTGCACTTCATCAGCTGAGATTTGTTCTTCATCGAGAATAACTCTACTCTCATATGAATCTGCATTGATCGTAATTCATTCAATCACAAGTTTACCTAATTTTGGTAAATTTGTACACATTCATATACAAAATTACGTACCTGAATTGAGGTTTTGATGCATTGCATTGTCATTGATTTCGCAATGTAGGTCAATATTATTGCCACATTGCCTGCAATTTAGGGTTTGTTGCATAGAATCGTTGTTTAAATCAACATCAATTGCATAATCAACTTCAATTTCTTTTGAAGTTTGCAGATCGTTTGAAATTGCAGCTTGAATTTGTTTTTGAGATTGTAATAATTTGTGAATTAGGGAATCCATCGATGTTTTGCAGCGAATTTGACAGAAGAAGTGCGACTGCGAATTTGAGAGAAGAAGAAGACGAAGTTGAGAGAAGAAGTGCAATGACTATTTATACTGTAATGGCACGTGCGAATCATGCCTTACATTAAGCTTACTGTAAGCCGGTTGTACGCAAGAATTTTTGTTACTAGAATAACCCCAATAGGGTTCATCTAATATATCATTAACCGGTAAAGGAATTCCTTTAATGGTTGAACGATGTGAGGAGGTACCACTAAAGAAAGAGCAGCAATATCCCAAGAACGATCTTCTGTAATAAATTGGTTAACCGTAAGGTCTAGATTTTGAATATCAGAAGTATTTAAATCTAATAAAGTAACCAAATTCGTAGAAGAACACCGGCCAATTATCTTGCCAAAAAAGAGTATTTGAACCTGATCCAACCTTCCATCTTAGCCCTTTAAGAAGGAAAGGGTGAACTTGTAAAAAAAATTTCCAAATTCAAGAGTCCTTAGCATGGGGTTTACATTAAAAAAAAAAGTTTTGTTTTAAATATATAGCTTGAATAGTACAAACCCACAAATTATTATGATTTGAGATTATTTTCCAACCTAACTTAGCAAAGAGAGTTGACTGCTACCATTTTCCTTAAACCTAATCCCACTTGACTTTTGGGTAGACAAATTTTGTCCCAAGAAATCATGGGGAGGCCATTCTTATTCGAAGATTGTTTCCAAAAAAGAATTCGGTTGATTTGATCCAAAGAGTTAGTGATTGTTTTAGGACGACGCACAATAGTCATAGCATAAGAGGGGGGAGCTTCCAAATGACTTTGAATTAAAACAGTTTTACCTGCCTTTGAAACTGAGTTTAAGGACCAATTATTCAATTTCTTTTCTGCTTTTGCTAGAATGTGATGGAAATTCTGTTTAGTAAAAGACGAGGAGTTAAATAGAACACCTAAACAACGACTAAGGAATGATTTAGGAGTTATATTGAAATATCTTGCTAAATTTACCTTTCTAGAATCGTTTATTAGCTTTGAAAAGACTATAGAGAACTTATGAAAATTGATCAGCTGCCCAGACATAGAAGAAAATTCATTAAGGATGTCTCTAAGATCACGTGCTCTAAATTTGACCTGACAAAATAATAAACTATCGTCTGCAAACAATAAACAAGGGATGACTGGAGCAGATGGGGTAACTTTGAGATCAATGCCAAATGTTTTATCTAATGATTGATGAAGTAATTTTCGAGCAATGACTTCCATACAAATGACAAAGAGAACCGGGGATAAAGGATTCCCCTTACGTAGACCTTGAGTGGGAGTAATTAATTCTGTAGAGTTTTTATTAACAGATATCGAGTAAGAAACCGTAGTAACGCAAGACTTGATCCATGTGATCAGAGTTTCATTAAACCCAAAAGCCTTTGAAGTAGCCCATAGGAAATCCCATTCAACCCGATCATAGGCTTTTTCCATATCTAATTTCAAGGCTTAACCATCCTGATTTATTTTTGGACTTATTAAACATATTCAAGATTTCTTGAACTAACAAGACGTTATCTTGGATTGCTCTTTCCGGGGCTAAAACATTTTGATTTGGTTCTATAACTTTCTTTAAGAAAGGTTTAATTCTACCAGGAGTTTAGCTATCGCTTTATAAATTGTTGTACAAAGACTAATGGGGCGGAATTGATGTGTCTTATTTATATTGTTGATTTTTGAGATTAGTGTAATAATTGTATGATTAAATTATCTTAATAAAATACCATTATGAAAAAAAACCTTTTATTGCTTTACAAATATCCATTCCAATAATAGGCCAATAGTATTGAAAAAAAATTAGGCCCAAAATTGTTCGAACTTGGAGCTTTGTATGGAGACATATCAAAGAGTACTTGTTTGATTTCTTCATTAAAAAAAGGTTGTGTTAAGGTTAGATTGTCTTCCCAATTAATACATGGTTGTATCCAAGGAATGGAAATATTACGAGAGCAAGGATGATCTGACTTGAATTTATTTGAAAATTCTTTAAAAAAATAGAAGAGTAATATCTGTCCGGTTCTCAACCCATTGATCAACTTCATTACATAGCCTGAAAATTTGAGTTTTTCTTTTTCTTATTTTCATTGTTTCATGAAAAAATCTTGTATTTCGATCACCTTGCGTTAACCAATTTTTTCTTTCATATTTACCCCAGTATTTTTGGCAAAAAAGGAATAGTTTTTCACGTTGTTTAATCAGACGATTTAGATGTTGTTTGATATGATGATTTAGAAACATAGATTATAAAAATAGCTAAAAAGATAATTTATAAAGTAGTTCATCATATTTATAAACCATTGCCAATATGTACAAGAAATACACAAAAAAACTATCTAGATCATAAGATAGCATCAGAGTCCAGTTTATGGAATTCCCTAAAGGAGACATAAGTACATAGCATACTACTATACAAAGAGACCATAAACTACAAAAACGATTCCCTGCAAGCAACAATTAATGCATATTAAGATAGCCAGATAATCCCATAGCCTTATTAAAAGCACTGTATACAAAGTAAAGGAGTAAGAACCAAGGTCATTCAAACACGTTTGCTTTTAGAGGCAACATAGTCCTTTATATCATCAGCCCTTCTACGCTTCATTGATTCCGTGGGAGAGGTTATACCCAGAGTTTCCATAAAAAGCTGAACATCTTCAAAAATCTTCCCTGAAATTCCAGGTAAGTTGGAGCCATATTCCATTATTAGAGGAGTAGTAAAACCTGAAAGAAGAAGATCATCTGAATTCAGAAAACTAGAGCCTTGATTATCTTGTTTTCTTTGAGAGTCATCTAAAGGACTCTTCTCATGAACTTTGGGAGGAAGAGAAGGATTATTCCCCCGTAGAATATCTCCAATAGATTCGGTTGCATAAAGGATAACATAAGGAATATTATCAGCCAAAGAAATAGGCCAGGATTGACAATCGGGCTAGGAGGCTTACCTGTAGTAGGTTCTTTACGAGGAACAATGATGTTTGGCGATTCCTCTTATTAGGAGGTGTAGTAGTTGGATTTTTAAAGCGTTTTTTGGGAGTAACCTTGACCCATTAACCACGATCATCATGTGGCAAAGGATTTTCTGATGACTCCGTCCGCAACAGGGGAATTGAGACCTCGCACAAACCAAGGCCTCCTGTTCCAAACGTCATCCTTATCTTGAGAATTATAAAACTTTATAAGAAACCAGTCATGACCTATTTCTGCCACAAAAAGACGAATCTTTCTTAAGTTTAGAAACGATAACACGGAGGGAGAATAGAATCACCAAAAGGTTTTCCCACAAGACAACGCTCTTCTAATATTTGAAGCATATGTGGATAGAGAGCTTGATTAGAAGATTGGAAATTAACTACAGGAGGGGATTTTCTAACGGGAGACAACAGTTGATTGTTGATAGTTGGATCATTAGTTGCAGAATGGGTAATGGTAACATGGAAATTCCATAGAGAAGGATGAAGGGATAGTGGTACAAGGCTTATTTCCAATTGACACAGAGAAATTTATACGACTCCTCCCTTAAAAAAATATGACAATTTGACACATAGCTTTTTAATAGGCGGTAATTAAAGACCAGAGTGGTAATTAAAAACAATAATAAAATTAGAAGAGGGTAGAGATAACTTATCTGAAGTTGAGCAGTTGGAATTGAAGAGATGCAAGTTGATGAAGGGGAAAAGACAAAAAACTAGGCAAATTAATTTGAAGAAATGAAGTTTGGTAAGGTAGGAATGTCGGTGGAATAGGTTGGATGAAATATGGAATAATGGAATACCAATGAATTTAGGGTTAGAAAAATTGGATTAGGTCGATTTTCGGCTTCCAAAAAATAGGTTTTTAACGATCAAGTTCCTTTTTGGATCGTTTCGAAACAGTCAGGTTTAACGATTCGGGTCAGAAACTAACAGCTCTACAAAATTCTCATTTTCACTTTTTTTGTGTCAATTAAACAAGAACTTCAAAATGAAATTCATGGGAATGAGGAAGCCCCAATTAATCAATTTGATAAACAAATTTTGTTTATTAAATGGCAAATTGGTAAATAAAACAACATAAATGTCCAGTCAACATGTCATTTTCGTAAAAATATCAACAACAGTGGGACCCATATTTAATAAAAAGTTGTCTATTTATTTACAATTTTACCATGATGAACAAATTTTGTTTATCTTATTAATAAACCGGTATTTTCTGATTTTGAATGCCCATAGGAATTTAACCCAACCAAACAATACCTTAGTTACCCTACCTAAAAATAATGAATTCCGCAAACTAACCTCTGAGGACATGACTCTTCGTGCAGCACTAGAATGCTTCAGCGCATCAGCTCGACTCATCTCCGCACCTCCATTATTAACCAGGTCTGTTCTTCTCTATCACCATTCTTTCCCCTTAAACTTCATCAGTTTTTCGCTGCTTTTCTTAGCAATTCCTCGTCATCTAACAAATTAAGCAATACCCACTTTAATTCTTCTCCAGTTAGTCCCCCATTTGTTGGAAATTTGGTGTTTTCCAAATGTTCCCATTTGTGGGATCATCGAATTGATAAGTCTACTATTGCTAGTTCTTCTATAAATCAACTGATTTTGAATATTTCTTATGTATCCCCTAAAATTTGCCGCAAATTTTTGAGGGTTTTAAGTTGGAAACCTGAGGATGTGCTTGAAATTTTACTGGGTTTTCAATTGGGTAGTGAAAGTTTGAGGATTGATGTTGAAGTTGTTGAATCTTTGTGGGAGATTTTTAGGAGGGTTGATGATAGAAATGTGGGGTTTAAGCATTTGCCTCAATCTTATGAGGTTATGGCATCTATGCTTGTTAATAAGGGGATGTTTGGGGAGGTTGAATCTTTGTTATCGACTGCGAAAACCCAAGGAATTTTACTGGCTAATGAGGAAGTTTTCAGTCGTTTAGTTGAGGGATATGCTAATATGGGTGAATTGGATAGGGCATTTTTGATGTATGATGCAATGAAGGGGCTATCTTTAGCTCCATCATTGGCATGTTATCGTTCGCTACTCAGCCCTTTGATGAAGGAAGGTAGAGTTGATCAAGCGATTCGTGTTTATGAGGATGTAGTTGAGGTGGGTTTCAATATAGGTGATGTTGAACCCAAGAATTTGGAGAATTTAATTAGTTTTCTATGTTGGGATGGGAAGATTAGGGAAGCTAGGAAGCTTCTAAAGAAAATTGTGGTTTCTGGATGGAAACCAAATACAGTGATTTTGAGTAAGGTTGCGGATGTGTACTATGAGAAGAAGGATTTCGAAGATCTTTTGAGTTTCTTTGTTGAAATGAAATGTGCCCCGGATATCTTTGTTGGTAATAAGATTATACGTTCCTTGTGCAGTAATTTTGGTATTGGAAGAGCAGATTCATTTTTGTGGGAGTTAGAGAGATTAGGTTTTGTCCCGAATGAGATAACCTTTGGCATCTTTATCAGTTGGAGTTGCCTTGATGGTGCCTTTTTTTATCTCTCTGAGATTTTGTCTAGAGGCCTGAAACCTGATAGGCACTCCTATAATGCACTTATCAGTGGTTTGTTCAAGGCTGGTATGCAAGAGCATGCCCGAGAAATCTTCAATGAAATGATTGGTAATGGGGTAAAACCTAATCTTGCAACTTTTAGAGCTCTTTTAGCCGGGTATTCTAATGCCAGGCTATTCAATGAGGTCGAACTAATGATGTCTGAGATGGTAAATCATGGTTTGATTACCCTCCCAGATTCAGAAAATCCAATATCGAAAGCGTTTGCTATTTTGGGGCTTAATCCATTGACCGTAAAGTTGAAGAGGGACAACGATGTTAAGAGTTTTAGAACTGAATTTGTTGATACTTTGGGGAATGGTCTTTATCTAGACACAAACGTGGATGAGTTTGAGAAGACTGTAATGGGTGTTCTTGAAGATTCTTTGGTTCCAGACTTTAACTTGCTTGTGATGAGGCAATGTAGTGTCAACAATGTTAAAGAGGCACTGTTAATGGTTGATGAGATGCTTCAGTGGGGACAAGAATTCTCACTTCCGGCTCTTTCTGTATTGGTAAGATTGCTTTGTGAATCAAATTGCCATATCAAGGCAATTCCAGCTCTCCTAGATAAAGTGTTTCAGCGTTTTGGCGAGCTAGATTGTGAAACTCTCAATTGTATTATCAAGGCTTTAGGTGAAGGAGGCTTCGTAGATGAGTGCAGGTTACTTCTTCAAGAAATGTACAGAAGGCATCTACCAATCTCCAACACAACATATACTGCCACAATTGTGGCTTTTTGCAAGCTTGGGAGCATGAGTGACATTCTTTACTGCTGGGGTCATGCACGGAAAGACAATTGGTCACCTGAATGGGGTGATTTTATCATTATTTTGGAAAATTTATGCCACAGAAGAATGCTTGAAGAAGTTCTTGGGCTTTTTGACATTATGCTGGCAGCGGACCCTGACTTGCAAATTCAAATTTGTGATGTGTTTTTTGAAAAGCTTTCTTCTAATGGCCTCACTTGTGTGGGGGATATCTTGGTTAAAGAACTCAAACGGAAGAATTTTGAGTTGGACCACACTGTTTATAGCCGTCTTATTAAAGGCTACTGTCTGGAGAAAAGATTTTCAGAAGCCTTAATGACATTTGATGAAATTCGAGCTGATAATTTGGCCTTGTCACCAGATGCTCTTATGTTGTTAATCCCTAAGCTTTGCAAGTTCAATAGATTTAAAGAAGCAGTTGCTCTAATAGATGCAGGTTTCAAGGACCATCCTTCTGTCTTGTTCTCCCTTCACAGCGCTCTTGTTATTGGTTGCTGCAGGGCTGGAAAAGTTGCAGTGGCAGATGGTTTATTTCAAGAAATGTTCTTGCAAAATAATCATCCAAAGGGTGAGATTTATAATTCATTGCTTCAAGCTCGTTGCCAAAGTGGTAATCTGAAGACAGCGAAAGAGCTATTTTGTGTCATGATGAAGAGGAGTATCAATCTCTCAGTCTTCAGTTACCGGGATCTGATATACCTGTTATGCAAAGTGGGGATGTTACATTTTTTGCGGGGGCTAAAGAATTTCATGGCTATTGGAAATAATACTCCCTATTCCCTTGTACATAACATTTTTACTATCTGTCTCTTCCGAACAGAGAAACATCACCTTGTTGATGCACTTTTGGATGAACTAGAAGAAAGCAGGCAGCAACTTGATGAAGTTGGTTACAATATCCTGATACATGGGTTTTCAGTTTGCAAAGATATGCCTAGGTCGATGAAATTCCTGAATGACATGATTATTAAGGGCCTTAGACCAAGCAATCGTAGCCTCAGAGCTGTAATACGCTACTTGTGTAAAAATGGAGAAATTCAGAATGCTTTAGAATTGAGTAATCAGATTGAATCAAGAGGATGGTGTCTTTGTCCTACTGTACATTTTGCAATTCTGGAGGGCCTTTTCTCTTGTGGTAGAATACATCAAGCAGAAAGATTTCTGGCTCAATTCTTCGAGAAAGGTTCAACTTCTGAAACCAGTTACTATAACAATTTAATACGGAACTTCTGCAATTATGGGAGACTGGAAACTGCAGTAAATCTCCTGGATCAAATTTTGAAGAACAAGAGCATACCTGATGCATCCTCCTATGACTGTGTTGTTCAAAGTTTTTGCGTGTACAACAACTTGGATTGTGCTATGGATTTCTTTAATGAGATGTTTTATAGGAATCTTAGACCAAGTATAGGGACTTGGGACATACTGATTCAGAAGTTCTGCAAAAACGGACAAACTAAGGACGCAGAATGCCTTCTGATTTCAATGATCGAAGTTGGTGAAACTCCTACTAAGCGGATGTACTCCTCAGTGATTGATAGATATCAGTTCGAGAACAACCTGTCCAAGGCATCAGAATTACTGAACTGGATGCAGCGACAAGGTTATGAACCTGATTTTGGAACTCAGTGGTCACTTATTAGCAGTTTAAGCTACTCCAATGATCGGAAAAGTAACAATGACAATGAAGGTTTTCTATCAAAGCTGCTTGTGAAAAGTGGATTCCCTTTAGAAAGTCCGAAGTCCAAACTGAAGTGATGTATGTTCTCTTTTTGTAACTTGTTTTCTTTTCTCATCCCACAATGAGTTATAAGACTTTAGCAAAATGTACATACTAGTAATTTATCTTATACTATGAGAAACATTTGGCTTGCGTTACCAAGCCTAATTACAAATTCCTCTTTTAATTTAGTATACAATCTATCTATCTATTAACCTATACTAAAAGAAAATCCTTCTATGACACTTGTCATTACCTTGTGAAAAATCTTCCTGCCTTTTTTCGTTTTTTTTTTTTTTTTTTTTTTTTTTTTTTTGTGGCAAAATCCTTAAGTAAACTATTTATACCTTATGATATTTGTTTTCACTTTGACAATTATATTCCATATATACCCAAATTAAATATTTCTGAATATCTTTTATGTACTTTAAGTAGTATTTTGCAATATTATTGTCAAAAATATTTAACAACAGTGCATTACACGGGATATTAAGTTGGTTATATGATGATTAGTTTATCTCACCTATTACATTCCTATTAGCTTTACCAGTTAAAAAATTCTTACACTTTGGTCTCAAGTCTCTCACTCTCTCAACTCCTTCTAAGCAGCTTCAACTTTTGCCTGGACATGAATACTCATTTTCATTTGATATTGTTGGCTTAGCTTTATTTTCCTTCGAAAATAATCGTCTTGTATACCATTTCTTCAAATGAATTGTGGGGAAGGGATGGGTGAAAGGAAACTACTGTTTTAAAGAGAATTTTAGTAATTACAGTTCATTGCTTTCCTACCTTATAAAAAGTATAAGATTACTCTTAAGAATAATGTAATGCCAATTATATCTTTTAAAATGTGTATTTTCATATATACCGTCCTTAATATCACAAGTTTTTATTAATGAATAGTATTTGTACAATTATACCCTTAAAAATGTTTATTTACTTATTTTGTATCATTAATGTTAGTTCCTTGGACATTTATACCCCTTAACATAGTTGTTTACCAATCAACAATTAAAATTTTGATTTAAGGCCAAATCGAAAGAACTTCTAGATATGGCTAGCTATGGCGTGAACATCACGCGCGTTAGCTGTCCTAATAATAATAAGGTATTGTAATGTGGTGCAAAGATGGGATATTTAACCATCGGAGTTAAATCAAATACTTGTATTTAATACATGTATAACAATTTACCGTAGTGAAACAAATTTTGAATACTGTGAAAAAAAAAAAACAAAATTAACATAAAAATAACGTAAAAATATCATACCTGTATAAGTAGAACTAAATTACAGTAGTTCGTTTCAAACTATCTTAGTAATTCAAATTTGCTTAATTTGATTGTTGGGCCCTGAATCATGGCCCAATATTATTCATATGTAACATGTTAAACTTCATCACTCACTACTCTCTTTGCCATGAAAATTTACTTTGGTCCTTTAATAATTTTGCGCCTTCCCTCTCCCTTATCATTCAAAAGGATGCTTTAGGTATCTCCAATCAAAGGGGCTAACCTAGCTTTTCTCACTCAATAAAAAAAAAATAAAATAAAAATCACTCACCACTCTCTATAACACTGGGCCAATTTTCCTTCACACATACCACTGTACTACGTATATAGGATAGGATTGATTATACATTCGATTCGTTCAATTATGCATGCGATTATACTCTCTCAACATTTATTACACATTTGATTCACCCCGATTTTGAACCTCTTAAAGTCCTAATGCTTTTGGTGTTCGGATAAAATTAATTACACTTATTCATTGAATATTTGCTCTAAACCAGCTTGCCAAACATGCATCAATACCTATATTTCCAAAAGTGTATATACATATAGCTAGGATATGTATAATAGTCAAAAGAAAAGATGATGCATCCTTATATGAATCCAGGGGAGCTGGAAGAATTTATATATCAGCTGTTGCATATAGAGCTACACCAAGCATTTAGAGTATTACCCCTATACATCATTATCTTCAATTCAGGCATTTAAAAAATGTTTCTAGGCATGCCTTTAGTGGTAATTTAGAAAAAGAGGACATCGAACCTTAAGCTGGATACTCAACTTTTTACATTAATGTTCATGCATACCAACCCATTGTTCCTACCAAGACTGCCATTGTCCAAATCTGGCCAAACTCGAATTGTGCTTTGTCCCGACGAAGTCCTTATCATTTTTAAACATATGACATGTCATTTTTGTAAATATTGGCATATATATATAAGATTCTTAAAAATAGGTAAATAGGACTGTTAGATGGTTAACAAAACATATATTTTTGCAATGACCATTAACTAGTGTGCTCAAAATGACTCATGTTGTCACGGACAACGAAATTTTAGAGCAAGGTGCTGAAATGATATTTAGCGTTAATGTCAGAAAAATAATTACGTACAAGTTTGTTACCATCAATATCATTTATTATCTCCCACCATAGGGTTGTAAGTGTGCATGTATTTTTGGCTAAGTTAAATTATATCATGATTCATGCAAAAAATGATCAACATAATATTTATTAATTTCGTTTTTAAATAACAAAAAATACATTAGGTTCTTCCATTGTTCTCAATATAGTCTTTTGTACACATTAGTTGTTTAAATTTTTGAAGAGATGTATAATTGCTTAATTAGGGAGTAGACACTTCATATTTTATAAACTAGAGGCATGATATGCGAATATGCTTTATTTATGATAAACATGTAATCAAAAAGTTGCCACGATAACTCTTTACCTAATTATGTTTATTAATACAACTAATAAATAATATAATACAAAAGTAAACTACCTTGAAATCGCCTTTTACATGGTGGCATACTATGATTGGCTCAAAACATAGAAATACATGTCACTTTATTGACTCACCTTTCCAATGGAATTCGCTAGAATTAGAAATACTTCACTAAATTAGCAAGGTTGTTTGACAAATGACATGGAAACATAAAATTAAGCAACAATTATTGTTGTTTCTCATTCCAATACTTAAAAAAAGTCGTAGATTATCTTGATACTTTGTAATTAAGTATAATGTTAGAAGTTTACTCAAAATAATCTTTAGTTAATTAGACGATTCTCATACACTTTTCTTTATTTATCTCATTAAAGATATAATTGACAAAGATAATCACAAATTATAATTGATTTTGGAAAATTCGATAGTTTTTTTGAATAATATAAAATAGTACTCCGTACTTCGCATATGTGATTATCTGTTATTGATAATCTAATCATGAACGTATAAACTTTCAACAAAGTTGACGCATATATTGATCACGATTTATGAGGTTTATACAATATGCTAAGCTTTATAACTCAAATACTTTAATTATATAGATTTGGTTAGCCTAACTCCTGATTAAAAAGTCCTAAATATACTACTACGTATTAGACCTTCTTACAATTTCTAATAAGCCAAGTGTAATGTCCCTTGTCATGGTCTCATGCTGCATCTTAGGAAACAGGGCCCACCTTTAGCTAGCTCATACTGTAAAGCTTCCATATCTAAAAGCATATACTTATTGGTTTTGGCTTTTCAGTAACGCTATGGTTAACCATAAACTTTTCATTTTAATAATTGTGTTAACCTAAGTAATCCATAATGTTTTCAAAAAAAAAAAAAAAAAAAAAAAAAAAATCCATCATAGTATGTATGGAGTATTAATGTAATCATATAATACATGAGAGTAATCTTAGTATAAATATATTCTTATCGATACATAGAATCTACCAAGCAAGCTTGGTGAAGATGGTGGGAACTCACCTTAGCTTGTGACTTTGTCACAACTTCAAACTCCACTATCAACATTTATTTGATAGTAGGAGCCTAGGGTGATTTCCTTACCTCCCCCTCTACTTTCAAGCGATGACCTGTGCAACTGAACTAAATGACTTGCGAAATGTGCTGGTTTAGTAGGGTTGCCCTTTTTCTTAACACCCAAAAAAAAAAAAAAAAAAAAACACAACTTGTATAAATCGACAACAATATGAGATGGAGTTTGGGGCTAAAGACATTTATTTTATTTTATTTTTTTATTTTTACAGTCACAAAACAAACATACACTATGACATGTTATCTGTAACTAACTACTCTTGCTTGAAAATCAAGCTTATGGGCATCTTGGATGACCTGTTTAGAAGTAAAGGATAAAGTACAAGACTACCCTTACTCCGAACATCCTGAAGGAGAGTCTGTAGATGTGACGGTCCTTAGACACAATGCAAATTCAAGGTATTGAATGGCCAATTTGCATTGCAATTCGTATTATTGACGGCCAAATTCAACAGGTTCGCATTCATATATAGCTCAATCAAGAACGGAAGGATCCCTCAGATTACTGTTTCTATTGTCGTGTTGCACCAGATTGGGCAGCTCACATGGTCATTAGGACTTCATTATCTGCCTTGTTATTACTTGCCAAAATAATATGCCAGGTACATATATGTTTTTTTATAATCGATGATTGCTTTCACTTGTATATTATCCATATATTGACTTTAACCTTAGCTTATAAAAATAAAGAATGTGATGTACATGTTAAACTAGGTATTATATGGTTGAGAATATTACAAATTAGTATTGCATAGGATCGAGTATTTGATACACTAGAACATTAAACTTGCATCACTAAGCAAGTGAAATAATTTAACCAACCTATAATGATCGACATATTAGCTACCAAGATACAAATACATATAAAGACAAAATCATGTACAACACACTTGTACATTACGAACACGACATACGATATATCACACATAAAATACTTTATACGTATATATAAAATTTTAGAATACGACTATACAAAGTGAAAGGAGAACTTAATTATTTGATTATAGCCACATAAAAGTGTACACGTTGGAAGGTTGATAAGTTAATATAAGCATGACGGCAGTGTCTAATTACCCGATTTTATTTGGATGTGACGTATTAGATACTAATGTTGACACAAATATTAAATTAAAGCAGTCGGATAATGTTTAATTATGGTTGGATACACGACTAAAATTCCTGAAAAATGGGCTGAAATTGCCACGCGTCTAGAATATAAGCAATTAGTTTCCTGAAAGGGAAAGGGTATATTTTTATTGGGTTTTGATCATATTAAGAAATAATTAAGTATAATCTTGATTAGTATGATTATTAGAGAATGGAAGACCATGAAAGT